AAGAACTCTTTCACGGGGTTAATGCTTATATTGTGCCTTTCTGAATCTCAGTTCACTTTGACAATCTAAAAAAATACTATTAAGAACATTTGTAAGCCATTAATGTTTTGTTTTTTATTAACAAAGGTGCAGTGAAGTTGTAAAGTTATCATTTTTTTCAAAAGTTAAAGAACAATAAATGAGGAGCTTATTTGTTTTCATATTTTTTGTAATGCTTTTTTATATTGAAACGAAATGTAACAGCGGAATTCATTTAAACTTTGAAAAAGTACATTTTCATAGTTAATCACTGCCACAAATAGCTTTATCCTCTTTAGCCTCTTAAAGTCTACGCTGCCGGTGTAACAAACAACCAATTAGACCAATTAGTCTAGTTTTTAGTGTCTAATTTTTGTCTAATGATACCTTTGAGACCCACTAAACTATGTTGTAAAGCAATGTCACTATGATGTTCTAGTGAAAAATAAATTATTTAAGTTTCAAATGGAAGCCTGCTTTTCCACTTGTCTTACTTCATTCAGCACAAATCTACCAACAGGTCTCAGGATAAGCCAGGTGGGTGTGTTAGCTGGTGGGGGGGTCTCCAGTTTCCTACAGTGTTCCTGGAAACTGTGGGCCACAAGACAAAAGAGTTGTCGTTTAGACATTATCGTCAAAAACTCATTCTCAAAAATTAAGATTGGGCTGGATTTCTTTGCAGGGAAAAAGAAAAGTGACTTTTGTTTTCATGTTGCAACTCACAAAATATGAGCAAACATGAGAGACAAACAAAAACCAAACATCTTTTCAGTACTTGATTCGGATTGTTCTTTTATTTATCTCTCTTGGCTTAGAGATGGGAGACTCTCAACCCTTTGTTTTATAATCTAAATTGGTTTCAGATGTTTGTTTGTTTCTGTCCCCTCTCTGGCCTTTTCCTCTTAGAAAAGAAACGTTCCAAAGACGTCTGTTTTTTAGTCATTTTTCAACTTTTTCCAAATCTTTGGCTTCAAGTGACCGAGATGTAACCCAGAGAATCCGGGCATTTTTCAAAATAAAAGATTTTGCTAAATAAAATGGCTCACTGCCCTAGAGAGTACTGTTCTAACCACAGTTTACAGCACAGCTCGTCTCCCACGTCTACAGAACGTAAGTAACTCACAAATCTCTGACCTAAACGCTTCACAAACTTCGATAAGAAACCCAGGTCAACGCCACGAGCCCCAAAGTTATCTCCAGAATCTATCTCTAAACTGTGAGTATGGTACGAACACTGTTCTGTGGGCCTGTGTGGGTCTGTCCTGCTTTTGTTTTGGTTGTGAGTTTGTGTCTGTCATGTGGTCCGGCCCCGCCCTCTCATTGGTTTCCCTCCTCTGACACCTGTTGTCTATTGTGTATCAGTCTGGTTTGTGTTTGTTAGGAACTGAGTCTGTGTGTGTGTGTCCATGCCCTGGTGAGCTACTCTGAATTATTGTTGTGATTATGATACTTTGCTTTCTGGGACTTTAATGCGACAAGTTTTGAGGCTTCTTGGAGAACTTTTAGTGTTACCAAACATTTTTTGTCCTAATCTTGGATCCTTTGTACTTTTTATTTCTGAAAGGCCCTGGGACTTCTATTGTGGATCAATTGAGTTTTTTTAAATGATTTTTTTGTGAATCAACTGAGTTTTTGGAAATAAAAGGAAATCTTTTGGATTGGAAGCTCTACATTTGGGTCTGTTCTCCCCCTGGACTTTAGCTCAGTGGATGACCTGGGTTCAATCCCTGAGTCCCAACAAACAGAAGAAAACGGGTCAAAGCAAAAGCAGTGCATGGTGGGATGGAGATCCTACAGCAGGGGGGGCCAGAGTCGGTCCTGTTTGGGCCGCTGTCCTGCAGGTTTTAGAGGTTTTCCTGCTTCAACTACCTGGATCTGATTAAGTGGATTGGTTCAAAGGCTCTGCACGGGCCGGTTCTGGCACCCTGGCCAGGATCAGGTGTGTGGAAGCGGGGAAAAACCTCTAAAACCTGCAGGACAGCGACCCAAAGGGGACTGACTGGGCAGCCTTATTCTATTTTTTTTTTTTTTTTTTTTTATCTCTGGACTAAATACAGTATAACTTCCATTTTGTTAGTTCATATATTTTATTCAAAGTTTGCCTTTTTTGTTGAAAAATTCCCAAATTATTTGATCAAATACTTGATTTTCTTTTTTTTTTTGTAAGATATTTCTTCCAAATGAACATTTTGGTTTCTATTTCTGGGCTATTTTAGCTTAAATAAAACCAGCCCAGATCTCCTCAGGTTAACCAACATCCCACAACCTGGAACCAGAGAGGCCCCCAGGAGAACACTACAACATTAATGAAGCACAAATACAAATTAAAAAACACAACAACATTAACGAAAACACAACAACATTAACGAAAACACAACGGAAAAGGTATGTCCCAGTGGGTGACCTAAGAAGTCGCTGATTGGACTACAGCTCGTTTTACTTTTGAACCGGAAGTTATTCCAGTGTGCTTCATTTGAATGAGAAGCAAAGCAAGCGGGAATACGGAAGTGGAGAGTAGTTGCCTCTTCTATGCAGCCCTGCTTCTTTCAAATAAGTCTTTAGTGAACGCATACTAACTGACACTTCGTGGTTGGTCCGAAGCATGTCCAGTATCACCTCATATTTATATCCTGAGTCAAAATACTCTCGAATAGCAGAAGTAAGGTTTGGATCACGGAGAACATTCATGTTTTTAAAAAACACGTTAAAGCCAGAATAACTTCCGGTTCAAAAGTAAAACGAGCTGTAGTCCAATCAGCGACTTCTTAGCAACTTAGCAATCAGCAACTTCCGTTGTGTTTTCGTTAATGTTGTTGTGTTTTCGTTAATGTTGTTGTGTTTTCGTTAATGTTGTTGTGTTTTTGTTAATGTTGTTGTGTTTTTTAATTTGTATTTGTGCTTCGTTAATGTTGTTGTGTTTTTTAATTTGTATTTGTGCTTCATTAATGTTGTAGTGTTTTTATTAATGTCCTTGTGTTTTCATTAATGTTGTAGTGTTTTTATTAATGTCGTTGTGTTTTCATTAATGTTGTTGTGCATTCGTTAATGTCGTAGTGTTTTGCACCTCAGGGCCACCGTACTGGTGAGCTACTCTGAATTATTGTTGTGATTATGATACTTTGCTTTCTGGGATTTTGATGTTCTAGGTTTTGGGGCGTCTTGGAGAACTTTTAGTGTTACCAAACATTTTTTGTCCTAATCTTCGATCCTTTGTACTTTTTATTTCTGAAAGGCCCCGGGACTTCTATTGTGGATCAATTGAGTTTTTTAAATGATTTTTTTGTGAATCAACTGAGTTTTTGGAAATAAAAGGAAATCTTTTGGATTGGAATCTCTACATTTGGGTCTGTTCTCCCCCTGGACTTTAGCTCAGTGGATGAGCTGAGTTCAATCCCCGAGTCCCAACAAACAGAAGAAAACGTGTCGAAGCAAAAGCAGTGCATGGTGGGATGGAGATCCTACAGCAGGGGGGGCCAGAGTCGGTCCTGTTTGGGCCGCTGTCCTGCAGGTTTTAGAGGTTTTCCTGCTTCAACTACCTGGATCTGATTGAGTGGATATGTTGAAAGGCTCTGCACGGGCCGGTTCTGGCACCCTGGCCAGGATCAGGTGTGTGGAAGTGGGGAAAAACCTCGAAAACCTGCAGGACAGCGACCCAAAGGGGACTGACTGGGCACACCTTATTCTATTTATTTATTTATTTTTTATCTCTGGGCTAAATACAGTATAACTTCCATTTTGTTAGTATAATATATTTTATTTCAATATATTTTATATATTTTATATTCAAATATATATTTTATTCAAAGTTTGCCTTTTTTGTTGAAAAATTCCCAAATTATTTGATCAAATAGTTGATTTTCTTTTTTTTTTTTTTAAGATATTTCTTCCAAATGAACATTTTGGTTTTCTATTTCGGGCTATTTTAGCTTAAATAAAACCAGCCCAGATCTCCTCAGGTTAACCAACATCCCATAACCTGGAACCACAGAGGCCCCCAGGAGAGCTGTGGGGTCCTAACAGTTCCTCAGTAACAAAGTCTGTGTCACTTAGTGGAAATTTTATTAGAATTTAGTATTTCCTTTTTTTTCGGTAAACAAACTTTTTAAATGCAACACCAGATAAGCGGATTACTTCAGGTTCCTCTGAGCTGCTGAAGTGTGATGACAGAGATGTTATCAGGGCTCTGAGTGGACAGGAAACCTCTGAGGAAACCCAAACGTGACCTCACTCCTCTCACGTCCGCCGCGTGCGCGCGCTCTGCGGGCTGCGCGTGCAGAAAGGTCCTGTGCAGCCCTCAGGAGGGTGCAGAGAGCTGGATGGAGCTCCGGGCTGTGAGCGGGACCCTGCTGGCCTGCTGCCTCTGCGTGCTCTCTCTGGGTGAGTCCGTTTTTCTGCACAGCGCGCGCGCAGGACGTCGGGACACGTCCCCGTGCGCGTCAGCACCCAAATGATGCAGAGCTGCTGGAACCTCCAGAGTTAGAGAGAAATATTCCTGTAATTCGGCCGCAGGTGTTGGATGTTTTGCAAACTGCTGATTGGTTCAGAGTTTAGCGCGCACCTCCAGATTCATCCATCTCATTAAACGCGCAAATTCCTCCAGAGATCAAAAGCTAAACTCCTCCAAACCAGAGAACTCTGCACTGCGTGGACGCCGTGTCAGAAAAGACGGTGTCTTAAAACATATATATGTCTTAAACATATATGTTTAAACGTGCGTGGCTGCGCTATTTTGCACATTTCTGTTCATCTAAACCTCATTTTTCCTTTTTGCGCCAGACGGCTGTCAGAGGAAATGAGTAGAATTCCTCTTTAAATGGCTTTAATCAGAGATAAAGGCCACATAAAGGGGAGGATTTCACATTTGGGGGGGAAACATTGGCGTGTTCGCGGGCCGGAAGTCGGATGTGCGCAGATGTGCGCAGATGTGCGCAGATGTGCGCAGATGTGTGCAGATGTGCGCAGATGTGCGCAGATGTGCGCGGATGTGCGCTGGGTTTGTGCCCCTCAGAGGTCCCGTTGTGAGTCTCCGGCTGGTTTTTGTGTGTCTCTGTGCACCAGAGGTGACGGTGAGGAACACCGAGCTGAGGCCGTGCGAGGAGGACGCGCGCGTGTGCGTGAGCGACCCCGCAGACTGCGCACCCCGGCCCCCGCCCGTGCGCAGTGAGAAAAACACGCACTTTTCTTTTTCGACTTACATTATCTGTATTTTATGTATAAGTTTATTTTCAATTGTCGAGGTTTGTTTTGTTAATTTTGCCTTAAATTTAAACTAGAAATCAGAGCAAACAGCAATTTAAAACAAGTACCCCCTTTTTTTTATTTCAGCTAAAATATCCCGGAAATAGAAACGAAAACGTTCATCTAGAAGAAACATCTTAAAAAAAAAGAAATGTAATTATTTGATAAAATAATTTGAGAATTTTCCAACACAAAAGGCAAACTTTGAATAAAACATAATTAAACAAATAAAATGGAAGTTAGAGAGGGTACATTTTATGTGATTTTATTCAACTTCCCTCAGGGATAAATAATGTATTCAAATAAATAAATGTATGTATATATCCCAAAGGGAAACAAAAACTACAGAGAATAAACGATTTGATACAATAAAGGCAAACTTTTTGTATAATACTTGATAAACTAATAAAATGGAAGTTAAAGAACATACATTTAATTTAAATTCGCTCCAGAATAAATGACGTATTTTTCCCAGGGAATAAAAACAAATGAATCCAACAGAATAAACTATTTGATACAATAATTTCAGAATTTTCCAACAAAATAAGGCAAACCATTAATAAAATCTGATAAACTAAACTGGAACTTAAAGAAGGAACATTTTATTTGATTACTTTTCACTTCCCTCTGGGATAAATACATAATTTATCAATGAAAAAAAGTAAAGAAGGTACATTTTAATTCATTATTATTTAATTTCCCTCAGTGATAGGTCCTGTATTTTCTAACCAAACTGTCTCTGCCCCCCCCCCCAGACAAGTCTTTGGGGGTTCTGGACTTGTCCTGTTTCTACCAGAGCTCTGATGCCTCGGTGACCTGCAGCTGGACCCAGGAACTGACCCCCCAGGCCGGGCTGCAGGCCTCCCTGATCTTCACCCAGTGAGCCCCACTCCTCAGAGCCCCCACCCCCCCCCCTCCCGGGCCCATCCGCCCCCGACCCACTTGCCCTGCCCACGCGGCGCGCGACTGCCCCCCCCCCCCCTGTCCCCCCCGCAGCAGGGAGGCGGTCCGGTCCTGCTCGGCCCTCTTCAGCCCGGCCGCCGTGCTGACCGTTACGGCCCGGGTCCGGAGCTACGCCGCGGGGGGGGAAATCTGGTCCCACCCCCACCCCCTCCCCCTGTACCGGGCAGGTGGGTCAGCCCCGGACCCCCCCAGGAGCCCGTGCTCTGGACATGGGATTATTTAGTGTCATTTTTACAACACTGAGAGAGTAAAGTCAAACTGAACATCCAGTCAGGAATTAATTCATAAACCTCCAGAGAACAGAACTTAGGTTTGGTTCAAGATATCTAATAAGTTTAATAACTAGGCTGTGTCATAGTACAGGTAGTTTTTCTTCAATAGTTTATACATTTGTATTCAAAATGTGTTTTTATGTACTTATAAGTTAGCTCAGAAATTGGGTAGTTGAGGTCCAAATGTCTTAATTACATTGTAATTACAAAACAGGGACATGATTGATTGAAAATGTGTAAAAACATTTTATTTTAGTAGATAGATATTTAGGTAGATAGATAGATAGATAGATAGATAGATAGATAGATAGATAGATAGATAGATAGATAGATAGATAGATAGATAGATAGATAGATGGATAGATGGATGGATAGGGGGTGGAAACATTTCCTCAGTCAGAACTTGTATTTATGTTCACATCTTCTGTTTATCTGTGTTTAAGTCACTTTTTTACCTGACTGGAAGGCAGAAAATGAGCATAAACGAGGTTTATTTTGTCCGCCCCCCCCAGTCCGCCCCCCCCGGCCTGTGTTGACCGTCCTGGGCTCCAGCAGCGACTGGCTGACCGTCTCCTGGAGGACCATCAGAGAGGGCAGCTGCCGGCTGCGCTTCAGGCCCAACGGCACCCAGACATGGACACAGGTCAGTGGTGCCCTCAGCCAGAGCCCCAGCCTGACCTCTGACCTCTGACCCCTCAGCCAGAGCTCCAGCCTGACCTCTGACCCCTGAGCCAGAGCCACAGGTCAGAGGTCACCGAGTGTGAACAGAGGGAGACACAAACTCAGCGGCTGGAAACGGATTTATTCCAAAACACAACTAAAAGGCCTTTAGGGCCCAGATCCCACAAAGACGTGCTAAAAATCCTAAGAAAACCCTGAAGGAGGCTCCAGCTAAAGGAGAAGGACAAAGGTAAACAGAAAACAAACAAAATCCACCATTTATTCTTCCCAAAAATAGCAACAACAAGCCATCAAACTCTCAAAATCAAGAAAAAATGGCCCAAAGTTTACAAAAAAAAAACAACCACTGCTAACTAAGGATAACCAATAAGAACAGACCCAAAGAGCACATGGCGGCCTTTATCCACACAGGCCAGCCCACAGGAAACGAGGAGGGGAGGAGAAACAAGACCAAGACATACAACTAATTAACCTAAACAACTAATTCAACCTTCAAATGATATCTACAATTCAAACACAAAAACTAAAGACATCCCAACAGTAACTTGTCTTTTAAACAGTGAAGCTCTGAGAGTTTACCAGCGACCCCGGAGTCCTGTCCCCCGTTTCCAGCCCCTGATGGACTCCTCCACTTCCTGGTGTTGAAAAAAATTTGCTCCCCCCAGTTAGTTCCTTCCAGTTCAGCCAAAATAGATAAATGGTTAATAATCTGCACAGATCTGGGATGTGTACTAAATGTGTGCAGCTGGATTAGCAGACGTCCTAAAATAATACACAAAAAGTTAAATCAAACAAATATACTGAAACAGTGAAATACTGACAGTTATTTCAGGACGCCATGTATCATCTTAAATCTGTAAATGAGACAATGTGGATCAGGTCCCATTCATGTTTTTGGGACTCTGCAAAGATGGAAACAAACTGGGAATCAGAGGAAAAGTCAAATATCCTTCACATTAATATCTAATGCAAACCACTTTTTTGTTTGTCCTGGGAGGTTTGGCTATTTGACCAGGGGCGTTTTATTAGTAGCAAAGACAATTGTTACTGTTGTAGGTCTAAATTTTCACCCCCAACTGTAAATCAATCAAATAATGGAGAATTTAACTGAAAAGCTGAAGCTATCCATTGAATTTTATAAAGAAAAGGTGGAACCCACTGATGGCATATTTGGACAATTTAAACTTTAAGTGTTTTTTGTGTGTACGAACAATAGAAAAGATGTTTTACTGTGAGCTCAGTTCAGAGGTTCAGACATCCTCATCACACGTGTTTGTGTTTAATGTACTAAAGACTGAGTGTGAATGGAAGATCTTTATATATATATATATTAAAATACAGTTTTGTTAAAGTCAAATAACACTAACACTGTGAAACTGTTATCAATGGGTCAATCCAAAGAGCAGCTGGGAACAAAAAGTCACTTTTAAAAAAGACGCAGTGCGTAAAAGCAGCTTCTGCTCGCGCGTGTGTTTCCAGGTTCCGGATCCCGTCCCCGCGCACGCGCACCGGAGCCTCACGCACCGGCTGACCGGGCTGCGGCCCCGCGCGGCCTACCGGGCCGCGGTGGCCTGCAGGGGCCGCGGCGGGCCCTGGAGCCCCTGGAGCGCAGCGGTCAGCGGCCGGACGCTGGACGCAGGTACTGGCCGCCGCCCCCCCCCCCCCCCGACACCCGGGGCCCCCCCGGGCCCGAAGGTCAGTCGGCACTGTTCTCCTTTCCTCCCAGCCCCCCCCAGACCGTCAGAGCTGTGCTACCGGCTGGAGGAGACGGACTCCGGGTCAGTTCTGCTGCATCTGTCCTGGAAGGTAAACTTTTTATGGGATGCTTTAGGCTGAAATATCCGGGAAACTGAAACTAAAGTGTGAATTTCGAAGCCATATCGTTAAAGAAAAACAGAATAAACAATTTCATGCAATTTAAAAAAGAAAATTCCAACAAAAAAGGCAAACTTTAAATCAAGTACGTGATAAAGTGGAAGTAAAAGAAGAGGCGTGGTCATTAATTTGATTTTGTTATCTGGGATAATTAGTTTTTTTTAATTGAATTGAATTTGAAACCAAAAACAAGACTTTCTGTGGGAAGTGTTTCAAGAAATAATGTTTTTGTGAGATATAGATGTGGGTTCAGTTTAACACCATAAAACCCCCCAAAATACCTCAGCAAAAATCTTTCTTTCCTCTTTCACTCCAAAATAACTGCATTTTCTTTCTTTAAAATGATGTAAAAGTTTATCAAAATGTGGGTTAAATCCTACTTAATTCTCCTTTGTACGGTCAAAATTAGGAAAGCGGTGTGTTATATAAGCAGTAAAGATAAACGGACGAGTTAGTTTTGAACATGGACGCATCAGGACAAAGATGATGATTAATAGTACTCCTTATGTCCATATTCTTAAGATAGGAGAATATGGTCTTGATGTCCTGGAAACTCTTTTTAGCAGGAAAATGTTTCCAAATTTCAAAGTCATGTGACTCAGATGTAGAAAACGGAATGAGTGTAAAGAGTCTCTGACCAGAAAATGGCTTAAGCCAACAATTAGAGAGCAGATTGATTTAATTTACAATATATTTGTTATGCAGCGAATTACATTCAAACTGAAAAAAAAAAACTGACAATTCTGAAAATAATGTCACACTTATGGGTTTTAACTTATTTGTGGTGTTTTGTCATGTCTTGGTCTTGTCATTTCCTGTTTTATTTTGAAAAGTACACCCCCTCTCGGTTCAGGTCACTTGCACTTCCTGTGTGTCGCATGTCTGATTGTCCCCCCTGATTCCTGACTGTGGTCCCCTGGGGTTCCCCCCATGTGTTTAATAGTCTGTGTTCCCTTGTTTTGGGCTGGTGGGTTTTGTCCTGTATTGACCTTTGACCCTGAGCTTAACCTGCCACTGAATTCCTCGTCTTGGGTCTCCACGTTTTTCCTCTAAAGGGTGATTATTATTTAGAATTTTATAGTTTTCCATCCTCGTTTTTTAGTATTATTGGGTACTTTGTCAATATTTTTGTTCCTCTCGTACAACAGATTATTATTTGGTACTTTTCCATAGCCTCTGCTTCCACTCAGAGTGGGATTTTTGTTAATAAAGACCTCCTTTTGGCCCAGACTCTGCCTCTGAGTGCTGCCTGGAGCCCTGTCCTAACAGAGAACTGGTCAAAATGGAGAAAACTGAAAGAACCGACTGAATAATAATTGGACTTAGCCGTTTTTTACTGTTTTCAAGCAGCTTCCTCAAATTTCTGTGTGTGATGTGCTCGTCATGCTGTTTGTGTAATGTTGTATGTTGTTGTGTTCAACTGGCTATTGTGTATGTTACTAAGGCCAAGAATGAAAATGTAACTAGATGAATTAATAACAATTTTAAAATGGAGCAGATGTGGCAAGGTGAAACATTATTTAGATTTAAAAAAGAGAAGACACAGATAATTTTTTGCTGTAAACAGAACAGAAATGAACTAAATATCTCTCCTCTGTGAGCCTGAGGCCGGCGTCCTGGGCTACGAGCTCCTCCTGGACCCCGGCGGGTCGCCCCGGAACGTGACCGGGGGGGCGGCGGTCCTGGAGGCGGGGGGGGGGGGACTGCAGCGTGGCCGTCCGAGGGTTCAACACGGCCGGATTCGGGCCGGCGGCCGGCCTGAGCGTCCACACACACACACACACCGGTGAGCTGACCAGAGACCGGAGCCACATCACGACTCTATAAGTGAAATAGATCTGTCATCTTTTTTTTCTTGTGTTTTGCAACATCCTGTGTGAGGCTTCTTATCAGAGCAGGAAGCTAAAGTTAAGGGACCCGATGTCCCGATTAAGCTTTCTGAATGTAGAAACAGGAAAGGGGGTCAGATGAGAGGTTTTATGTTTAGTTTTTACACATTTAACAGCCACTTTCTTCCATGGACACTTAGAAGGACGCACAAGAATCAAATGTGTTTTAGATAGAAAATGACAGTAAACAGGGAAGCAGATGCTCTAAAAAGGTCAGAGGTCATCAATCAGGACTTAATTACTGCAACCTGAGAGGTTAGTTAGAGTTAGAGTTGGCACACAGATGGAAAAAAATAGACAAAAGCTAAATTACACAATTAAAAAACTCTAAACTAACCATAACTTATCGAAATTTAAAATTAGCAGAAAAAATGGCAAAAAGAATAAAACTCCCAACAAAATATACGTGACCAGTGGCATTAAATTAGATCTGTGAAATACTACACACGAAAAATAATGAGTCTGTGTATTTCTGGTCTAATTTAGTCCTTTTTGTGGTCAGTTTGTGCGCTTCTGTTGTAATTTACTCCTTTTTCTGGTCAGTTTGTGTGTTTCTGGTGTAATTTAGTTTTAAATGTGGTCAGTTTGTGTATTTCTGGTCTAATTTAGTCCTTTTTCTGGACAGTTTGTGCGTTTCTGGTCTAATTTGGTATCAGTTGTGGTCGGTTTGTGCGTTTCTGGTCTAATTTAGTCCTGTAGCATTGTGTCTACTTTGTAACTCGCCTTATATAGAAGTGTCTTATGCAGAAACAGAAACATGATTAGCTATTGCACAGTTTAGTATTTTGGTACTGAGGAGAAGCAGCTCCTCCCCACCAGGGAGTCCGGGTTAGGGTTAGGGTTAGGGTTAGGGTTAGGGTTAGTCCTACATCCCGATGGCCTGAAGCTTAAAGGAGTCCTTATTTTTGTTAGTCCAGCATTTGGAGGTGTGCAGAGAGCAGCTGCTGCTGTCCAAAAAGTGTTCAAAATTATTTTTTTACATTTGACCTTTGACCTCTGGGCCTCATAGCTGATGCTAACACACACTAATGATGGAAATCTAAAGTAAAATGGTTTTATACATTTTAAACCAATCATGTTCTTGTTGTTAATTTAAGATTTTGTAAATAAGTCAAACATTTAATTACATATATAAACAAACATTTTTAATATAAAGATAACCCCACTGAGTCTATATAAAGAAAATCTACCTGTGAGTCTACTTCTTAAACTGATCAACTCTTCCTGATCCCAAATATCTTAAAAAATGGCCGCCAACTGAGGGCTGGGTTCTAGTGGCTGACCTCTCCGTGTGTGTCGGTCAGCTCTCCCCGCGGTCAGACACCTGTGGGTGTCCAGCTCCTACCCGGCTGAGAGGACCCTGCGGGTGCAGTGGGCGCCGCCCTCCCCCCCCCCCCGCCCTCCGTCGGCCATGTTGTTGTGCAGTGGCGCCCGGCGGGGACGCCGTCGGCCGGCCGGCGGGCCAGAGCCTCCGCCTCGTCCACCTCCACCAACATCCCAGGTAGGAACTCACAATCACAGGAAAAACACACAGATTCTGATTTATCGTCCTGATTTAGTTTTTAAAAAAGCACTTTATTTTAAATATGTGCTCTGAAACTGAAAGCAGAAATTCAGAAATGTCTTCATAAATAAATCCTTCTTCTGAAAATGCACCAATTAACTTATAAAATATGGCTTTTAATTATATTTCTTCTCTAAATTATTATGTACCATTGATTTAAAAGGCTGATTTATCAACTATTCCTTCCTATCCTTTATGTTAATTTGATTTAATGGTATTTTAAGCACATTTTTAGCACATTACATGAATGTTTTTATTTCTAATTTACTCACTTTTAGTCTTCCATGAGTAACATCCTTTTTTGTTTTAGATCATATTTATTTCCCAACTTCTGAACCACAAATGTGGAGTTTGTGCCTCTCACATATGAACACATATTTCCCCTTTTTTTCAGTTTTCTTTCTTTTTTGTAATATCTGCTGCTCCCTGGGTGGTCATAATGTTCTGGCTGATTTATTTCCAGATGTGGAGCCAGGTGAGATCTACCTGGTCAGCGTGTTCCCTGTCCAGCAGCAGCTCTGTGGACCGGCTCAGTCTCTGGAGGCCAGTCTGAGGCAGGGAGGTAAAAGCAGCCTGATGAAGGCTCCTGTGGTGGAACGGAAACAGTTTTATTAGTTATTAGAGTTATTCAAGTACCTGTGATGTAATTGAAACAGTTTTATTAGTTATTATAGCACTTTTTAGTGTTGTTTAAATCATTTGTAATAGTTATTAAACCACCGTTTGATGTAATTAAGCAACTGTGGTGTTCTTTTTCTAATTTAAGCACGTTTTGGTGTAATTTAAGCAACTTTTAATATAATTAAAGTACATTTTGGTGGAATTTAAACACCTTTTGTTCTCATTAGATCTTTTTCATGTAATTAGGGCCCCTTTGGTGGAATTTTTGGTCTAATTGAAGCAGGCTTTGGTATCAATTAAGCACCTTAACATAATACCATTTGTTAGGTAACATCAGAATAGCAGCAAATCACAGTTGAAACGATAAACAATGAAGAAAAGGTTAAAAAAATGGGGTTTGACAGCAAAAAAAAAAAAATTTTTCATCCTCAGTTTCTCTGAGGGATGAATTTTCATTTTTAGCTTCACCCCCCCCCCCCCCCCGAAATAGCCCTCTAACGGATGCCAGACTGCATATTCTCTGCTGTGTTCCCAGCTCTGGTGGAGCCGGTCGGCCTGAAGGTGGTCAGCGTAACCAAGACAACCGTCAGCGTCATGTGGGCGTGGCAGAGGAAGTCTGGACCAATCAGGGTGGACCTTTACAGCCTGATGCTGTGGAGAGGCTCCGAGAGACAGAGTAGGTTCTCCTGCAGATTCCCCTGGTGTCAGACTGGTTTCAGGCTTGTTTCTGACTGGTTTCAGACTGTTTTCTGACTGGTTTCTGGCTGGTTTCAAACTAGTTTCAGGCTGGTTTCGGACTGGTTTCAGACTAGTCTCAGACTGGTGGCAGACTGGTGTCAGACTGGTTTCTGATTAGTTTTCTGACTGGTTTCTGACTAGTTTCAGATGGGTTTCTGACTGGTGTGAGACTAGTGTCTGACTGGTTTCAAACTAGTTTTGGACTGGTTTCAGACTGACTGGTTTGAGACTGACTGGTTTGAGACTGACTGGTTTGAGACTGGTTTCTGACAGGTATCAGACTGGTGTGGGACTGGTTTCTGACTGGTTTCTGACTGGTTTCAGACTACTTTAAGACTGGTTTTTGTCCCCCCCCCCCTCTCTCTTCCAGCTCTGTCTCTGTGGCCGGACCAGCGGCGGCACACCTTCTCCCACCTGACCTCAAACTCTGAGTATTCTCTTCTTCTTCTGGCGGACAACGTCTCCCGGAGCCTGACCACTGTGACCACCGAGTTCAGTGGGTTCTGCTCGCTGTGAAATAATCACCCCCTCGGGCTTCAGCTTTCATGTTTGCAGTTAAATCAAAAGACAGAGGGGGGGGGGGGGGAAAAAAAAGAGGGGAGACAGTAAAGGTAGTGTTTGTTTTCAGAAAGCTTCAGTTTGATTTAATGTAATTAAGCAGCTATGGTGTCATTTTAAAACACTTTTTGTTCAGAATTCTTCGCCTTATCGGCCAAATGTCCAGCGTCCAGAGGACTTTAACCTGCTGTCACAGCACCAAAGGACAGTCAAAATAACAAATTTGAATAATAACAAAGAAGTTAATAATAATAATAATAATAAGTACAATATGCACAATGATGATGTGACACAGGAAAAGAAAGTCTGTTATGTTCAGGTGACTGTGGAAGTGGGGAGGCCCATATTTAAAGTGTATTATTATATGATAATAATACACTTTATTTGAAGGCACCTACCTCGGCACTCAAGGACACCGTACACAAATAAAAGAAACAATAATAAATCAATAAAATCAATAAAATAGACAGAGGTGATGGCCTCAGGTAGAAAAGGCGTCTTAAACTGAAGTTTTGAGCTGCATTTGAAAAGGTGAGCATCATCTCTCATCTGGTCTCTCATCTGGTCACCTCTGGTCACCTCTGGCCGGTTTCCGGTCTGAGCAGCAGAGTGTGTTCAGAGTGTTGTGTGCTGTGTTGCGTTGCTGGGTTTGTGGGGCTGAGCGGGGGGGCCTGATGTGCGTCTCTTCTCCAGACGAGGTCCCAGCGATGGCGGCGGCCACCCCCCTGCTGCTGCTGGCTGTTGCCGTGGCGATCGTCTCCATCCGGTCCAGGACTCTGTGAGTGACCACGAAACGAAGCCCAGAACTCTGACTAGAATCCACTTTATATGTTCATGTGAACAGTTTGGCACCTTTGAACGCTGAACACTCTGTAAATATTGAAACCTTTGTGACAAAGGTAGTAGTTTCTCCCTGAATGAGCTGTAAAGTAACTCTGTGGCCTTCCTGTAATGTTAAAACTCCAGAAGCTCTGCGGCCCAAATGATGTTTTAACACTTAAACAGAATTATTATTGTCATCAATGCATTTTCTAATATTCTGTTTGACTAAAAAATGAAAACAAAACGCTAAAGAACATCTTTATTTCCCAATGAGATGTCAAATTAATATTTTTTGTTTCTTTTTTAGAGTTTTAGTGGTTGAACGTTGTGGCTGATACGTAGAAATGCATCAGATTGTATCAGATTTCTAAGATTTAGGGAGAAAATAAACAAGACTGGGTTTGAAATCCTTATAAGCTGAAAATGATTAAACGTTGACAGAAAATGAACAGGAACAGGACACAAAATGACCAAGAAACCAAGAAGTGTCCTAAAATGAGCCCCGACAGAAACCAGAAACACCCGAAATGGGCAGAAAAAAAACAGAAAAAAGCTGGTTTGAGAGTGAATTTAAGCTTCTCGTGATGCTTTTTCAGACAAAGGCACAAAGTGTGTCTGTATTTCCAAAGACGTTGCAAACTAAAAAGTGATCCTAATGCTGACTCAGCAGATTTATGATGACCTGAACTCTGGTTTTCTGTGCAGAAAGTCGTACGTCTTCCCGTCCGTTCCCAGCCCTCGAGGCAGCACCGCCGGCCGGTGGCTGATGGACCCGGATCAGCAGGTAACCGGACCGTAGGGACGAAGAGCGTCTGCAGGAGCTCTCTCTGAGCTATCAGATTATCGGTTTGGACTAAAACAGTATCAAAAGATGCAGGTCCACAGGCTAAAAAGGGCGCAAAAATCTAGAAAAAAGACATAGAAATGAGTGCAAACACAAAGATGGAAGCTGCTGCTGTCCTAAGGAACTCTTCTTCCTCCGCTTCTTTTTCTACAAATTGTCAGTTTGGACTCTGCTGATCAAAAAAAGTCTCAAAAATATGCAGATTGACTGTCTAAAAATAACACAAATCTAGAAAAAAGACAAAGAAATGAATGCAAACAGAAAGATGGAAGTTGCTGCTGTCCTGAGGAACTCCTCTTCCTCCTCTGCTCTTCTTCTTCTACAAATTATCAGTTTGGACTCTGCTGATCAAAGAAATTCTCAAAAATATGCAGATTGACTGTCTAAAAATAACAAAAATCTAGAAAAAAAGACAAATAAATGAATGCAAACAGAAAGATGGAAGTGGCTGCTGTCCTGAGGAACTCCTCTTCCTCCTATGCTCTTCTTCTTCAAATTATCAGTTTGGACTCTGCTGGTCTAAAAAAGTCTCAAAAAGATGCAGATCGACAGGCTAAAAACAGCAAAAAAATCTAGAAAAAACACAAAGAAATGAGCGCAAACAAACAGAAAGATGGAAGCTGCTGCTGTGCTGAGGAACTCCTCTTCCTCGTCTTCTTCTTCTTCTCCTCCTCCCCCCCCGCAGAGCCCTGCTGAGAGGAAACTCCTGAACATGGAGGACTTCCAGGTGAGCGACCTGCTCGGGGACAAAAGCCTGATCATGGTTCTGCCCGGCCGGACCCCCCCCCCGGCCCGGACCCCCCCCCCAGCGTTGGTGAGCAGGGGCTGCTCTCGGAGGGGGCTCCAGGCGGCCGCTTCCCTCAGAGGGAGGAGGGGGTGTACCTGCCCGCCCTGACCCCCCAGCTCCAGGAGCTGCTGCTCCCCAGGAGGTCAGAAGGGGGGGGGGACCTGGTGGGGGGGTCGGTGAATAAGAAAAATAAACCTCATCGGCTGTGAGCCAGACTCTGATCAAAGTGTCCAGATTTCTCGTATATTTCCTCATCAAAGCAGGACAAAACCCCTCGAATAATAAAGTTTATCTCCCCAACGTAAATTAAAACCATTACTAAAACAGAATGAGTGTATTTTACAGTTTAAAAATACAGAAAACTCATTCTCACAACCCCCTATAATCATCATCCCCCCAAAAATAATGCAATGTAATAAATAAATGAAAGAAACAAGCATAGAATCAGCAGAATAGAAACTCTTTTTCCAGCCTGACCACAGCGACACCCTGTGGCAGGTCGGTGTAACTACAGCAGCAGAAAACAGGAAGCGTCTCTTCAGTTTAAAGCGGAATTTAGTGGGAGTTAAGGCCACTTTGAGAGCACATACATGCACGTGCTGCCTTCAGAGGTTCATCTCAGCCAAAAACAGACCGTGTTTGTTAGCTCTGGTCAGATCAGGAGCTCGGGCTGAACGACCAGCTAAAAAGTGGTTTGGATCCAGTTTTAAAAAAAAGATATGCATAGGCCAGTATTTTGAACTCCAACTTTCTTAGTTTAACGAAACTTTTAAATATAAATCTGTTTCAGGAATTGTTTTTTCAAATCTAAATAGGTTTCACATCTTGATTTTTTTAGATTTATTCATCAGTTTCAGTTTTTTGATTTTAAAATTGCGATTTGTTTGTTTTATTCTTTTTTCTTTAAATCCATTTCAGTATTCATTTATTTTTTATTTAAATTGCTTTTTTTTTATTTCAATATTTTTTTAATCTAATAATTTTCACAAAGTTTTTTAAATTTAATTTGGTTTAAAATCTATTAATTGTTTTGAATATAAAAATATCTCAGGAATTGCTTTTAAAATTAAAATCGGTTTCAGTTTAATCTATTTCAATACTTTGTTTTTTTTTATTTAATTTATTTCAGTTTGTTTTTTTTTGTTTTTTTTTGTTTTTTTCAATTTAATTCAGTTTCGGGACTTTGTTTTTTAAATTGAAATAGTTTTCAGGACTTGTTTTTTTGTATTTCATCATTTTCAGAACTTCATTCTGTTCATTTAAATCGTCTTCAAATGTTATAGATGTTTTGAATCTAAATTGGTTTCAGCAAATGTTTTTTTAGGTTGAACATGGCTGCTCTGGGAGAGGCTGCTGAGGCACTCTGAGAATCCCCGGCCTGCAGGGAGCTCCTCACAAACACAGCCGCCTTTGTGCTCCCAGCAGGTGGAGCAGCTGGGGGGGGGGGGGGGGGGACTGGGCCGGGGGGGTCCCACCAGCTGGGGCCGAGCACACAGTCAAATAAGGCCTCACCAACAGGAGGGGTCACGAATGAGCTGCGAGCTTATCGCATTTCACTCGTTACTTTCCTTTTTAGTCTTTTCTTACATCAGTAGAGCTGTTTTTCCTCATTAGTTGTGACCCAGATGACATCCGTTCGCACAGATCTCAGCACCTGATGCAGCTCAGGGCTCCCAGAGTCCGTCTCAAAGCTCACTCAGATCTCTGTGGACTCCTAGACCCAAACGGGGCCCAAACAACCTGCTAAGCGGGTGTTTATCTGGTGTCTGGATCAGGTCAAAGGTCAGAGGTGCTACAAGCTGATAGGAGGGTCTGGTTTAAAGGGATAGGGGCTGACCTGGCCCTGGTCCTGGACCCGGCCCAGGTCCTGGATCTGGCCCTGGTCCTGGACCCGGCCCTGGTCCTGGACCCGGCCCTGGTACTGGACCTGGCCCTGGCCCTGGTCCTAAAGCCGGCACAGGTCCTGGACCAGGTCCTTGATCCGGTCCAAGTCCTGGACCTGACCCCAGTCCTGGACCCTGCAAGAAACAGAGAAAAACTCTGGAAACATAGAGGACAGAAAATAGAAAAAACAAAACTGAGAATAATGCTGATATCTGTCTGGAAAGGTCAAAGGTCAGGGCTCACATAAGGTGGGTCTCCCTCAGTCCCACAAACAGCCTCTGACCGGTCTCTTCAGGGGCGTTTCTCAACCCCCCAAAACCTGAACGGGGGGACTGACCCCTCCAGATTCTGCCTCCAAACAGATGCTGGCGTGGGCCTGAAATAGCCCGTTACGTTCTGGCCCCGCCCCCCCCCGGCACGCTAACAGCTGCCAGCAGCCCTGCCGCGCTGGGGGGACATTTAACTTTAAAGGGCCGGAGCGGGCGGCTGGACTGAGTCTTTTCGGGCGTCATGGGGGCTTTCATCGCCAAGATGCTGCTGCCCACGGTCAGCAGCCTGGTGTTCCTGCCCGCCGCCAGCGTGGCCGCCAAGAGGGGCTTCCACATGGAGGCCATGGTCTACTTCTTCACCATGTTCTTCACCTCGGTGAGAACCCGCTACGCATCATCCGCCCATTGCACGCTGTAGTGTGAAAAACTGTAAATATTGCATGTTTAAGGGTGAAAAATATCTAAATATTGCATGTTGTGGTGTAGAAAAATGCACATTTTAGGGTAGAAAACCTGTGAATATTGTACATTGTAGGGTCAAAAAAGGTAAATATTGCACATTGTGGTGTAAGAAAACTGTAAATATTCCACATTGTAGGGTAGAAAACTGTAAATATTGCACATATTAGTGTAAGAAAATATAAATATTCCACATTGTAGGGTAAAGAACTGTAAATATTGTACAGTGTATGGTCAAGAAAGGTAAATATTGCACGTTGTGGTGTAGAAAAATTCTGAATATTGCACATTTTAGTGTAGAAAAATGTAAATATTGCACATTGTATAGTAAACAAAGGTAAATATTGCACATTTTAGTATAAAAAACATTAAATATTGCACATTGTTGTGTAAAAAATGTAAATATGGCACATTATAGGGTAGAAAACTGTCAATATTGTTCATTCTAGGGTAAGAAAAGCTCAATATTGCACATTGTAGGGTAGAGAACTGTAAATATTGTACATTGTATGGTCAGAAAGGTAAATATTTCACATTATAGGGTAAAACAGAGTAAATATTGCACATTGTGTAGTGTAAGAAACTGTAAATACTGCACATTGTACAGTAAAAAACTGTCAATATTTCACATTTAAGGGTGAAAAACAGTAAATATTTCACATTTTAGGGTAAAAAAAACTGTAAATATTTCAAATTAAGGGGTAAAAAATGTAAATATTGCACGTTAAACAGCCGGCGCCTCCCATTCCCTGCAGATCTACCACGCCTGTGACGGGCCGGGCCTCTCCATCCTGTGCTTCATGCGCTACGACGTGCTGGAGTACTTCAGCGTGTACGGCACCGCGCTCTCCATGTGGGTCACGCTCACAGGTGGGAAATCCTCAGAAAGCCATCGTTTTCTGTCCGCTTTAAGGGTTTTCTGCTTTAAAAACCCACTTTCTTGCACATCTTCTCGTCTCCGTGTTGTTGTTTCTGCTCCACTTAAGAGCCGGCCCAGTTGTTGTTGACTCATGTTTCTGAGCCGTGGACACGTGTGCTCAAACACGCCTGTGGCTTCCTCACATATCGCACATTGTAGGGTCAATAATGTAAACATTGCACATTGTAGTGTAAGAGATCTCTAAATATTGCACATTGTAGTGTAAATAAATGTAAATATTGTACATTTCAGGGGAAAAAAATATGTAAATGTTGCACATAGTAGTGTAAAAAAAATGTAAAATATTGCACATTTGTGTGTAAATAAATGTAAATACTGCCCATTTTAGCTTAAAAAAATGCGAATATTGCACATTGTAGTGTAAATAAATGTAAATATTTCTTCAATGTTGCGCAAAAAATGTAAACATTGCACATTACAGGGTCAAAAACTGTCAATTTTGCACATTGTTGCATTTTAAAAAGTAAATTTTGCACATTGTAGCGTCTCACAAACTGTAAATATTGCACATTGCAGTGTAAAAAATCCATCCATTGATGAGTCGGCACAGTTGCTGCTGACTCGTGTTTCTGAGCCGTGCACACATGTGCTCAAACACGCCTGTGGCTCCCTCACATGACCCCCCCCCCCATCTGAGGGAGGTTTAAATTTTGTTTGCCAAATGCTGAACAGCTGAATCCACCGACTGTTCAAGGCCATTTTAATCCCTCTTTGAAATATGAAAAACAGCCCTTAAACTGTCTCCATTCCTCTGATGGGTAATCAGAATGGAGGCAAAAATAAGAGACAGTAGAACCTTTACGTACAAATTTTACTGGTTCCTGGACCGACTTCTTATGTTAAATATTGGTATTTTGGTTCAGATCTTCCATCAGAATACACTGTAATTCCTAAACTTGGTTCCAAAAACCTACGATAACTCCTTAATAAATACTGCAGATGATTACACATCAGCAAGAAAACAAATGACTTCTAGAAGAGAGATGGAAAAATAAATAAATGATAAAGAAATAAACAATAAAAAGGGTTTTTATTGGCAGGTAGAGACTAAGATACAGGACGTACCCTAACTTTAAACTAACTTAGCTTATTTTATTTTTATTTTATTTTTATATTTAATTAATTTTTTTATGACTTTGACGTATGTTGGAAATTTGCTTTGGGTTTTGCGTTGAATATTTAATTGAATTTCACTTCAAATGTTGGAACTTTCGTGTGTTTAGGCGTTTGCAAGTAGATTTTAATAGATTTGGAGGTTGTTTGTGGCCTTTTATTCCTCCTTTATTCCCCTTAGGGGCTCCTTGTGACGTGTTTTTGGGAGAATCTGCCGGTTTAAATCAGAATGGTCTCTTTGTGTCGCAGCTCTGGGCGACTTCGACGAGCCTCAGCGCTCCACCATTTCCATGTTCGGGGTGCTGACCATCGCGGTGAGGATCTACCAGGACCGCTGGGGCTACGGGATCTACTCCGGGCCCATCGGCTCGGCCGTGTTCATCATCACTGTCAAATGGGTAGGCGCTCGGAAAAGCCTGGAAACGACTAAATTCCTCTGCGAAGTCTCAGTTTAGCCCAAACTTTCTTCTGCCCTCACCTCCTGTTCACGTTGGATCAACTTTACTTCCATCCAGCCCCACGTTTTTTAAAATGAGCTTAAATTTTTTTTTTTTAAAAAGGTGTTTCTTTACCCCTTTTCAAGTTTTTTTGTGGCTCATCCCTTGAGTTAGAGGGTTCGAGTGGTTTAAAAAAGATCTAAACTTGACTAAAAATGAAAAAAAACAAGGATAACAGAAGTTGCTGAAGACTTTTTGAACTAATCTTTATCCATCTAATCTTTCATTGTGTCCACTTCAAACTGCATCTTTAGTGAGTTGGACAAAACACTGGCTCATCCTTTGAGTTAGGAGCCATTTTTCTGACTCAAGTTGTTTAAAAAAAGAGTCAAACCCTAATAAAAATGAAAGAAAAAGTAAAATTTTGCTGAAGGAGGGAAAATATAAAGAAATTAAAGGTGGCTGAAGACTTTTTAAACTAATCTTTATCCTTCTAATCTTGCAACCTTTCCTTGTGAGTCTGTTCTCCAGTTTAAACTGCTTTTTTGCAGTTTAAACTGTTTTTGGTCATGACTTTGGCTCATCCCTTGAGTTAGGGGCCTTTTGTCTAACTCATGTCACTTAAAAAAAAGATTTAAACTGGTCTAAAAATGTACAAAATTTCCAAAGAAAAACTCTAAAAGAGCTGTCTCTAAAATGTCTCTAAAAACCCTTTAAACGACGTCTGGCTGCTTTGAGGGAAAATATGAATAAGTTAAAGGTGGCTGAAGACTTTTTACACTAATCTTTATACTTCTACCCTGTATTGTCTCCACTTTAAACTGCTGCTTTGGTGAGTGGGCCACAACGCTGGCTCATCCCTTGAGTTAGGGGCCTTTTTCTGACTTAAAACCGGACTTAAACATGAGTAGATAAAGTAGAAAAGCTCTGAGAGAGTGCTGGCTGAGTGTAACTCCTGGTGCGGCTGCAGCTGCAGAAGATGAGGCAGCTGCGGGCCGTTTATCCGGAGAAGGCCGTCTACACGCAGCAGGTCGGGCCCGGATGCTGCTTCGGAGCCCTCGCCCTCATGCTGCGCTTCTACTTCCAGGTGAGGCCCGCCTGTCCCCATGTGTCCTCATGAGTCCTGATATGTCCTGATGTGTCCTAATATGTCTTCATGTGTCCTGATGTCCTAATATGTCCTGATGTGTCCTCAAGTGTCCAGATGTGTCTTCATGTGTCCTGATGAGTCTGATGGGTCCTAATATGTCCAGATGTGTCCTGATGTGTCCACATGTGTCCTCATGTCCGGATGTGTCCGGATGTGTCCTAATATGTCCTGATGTGTCCTAATATGTCCTGATGT